GTGATATTTTGGTGCAAGGAATATAGTTTGTCTGTGTCAGTGATTGCGTCTAGCTAAGTTTAAAATAAGACAGATGATGACTAGCCTTCCCCATCCCCACTTTTGGTCTTGTGCCACAGTTTTTGGTATTTTACAAACGGGAAGAATTCTAATGACGTCACGGCAAGTAGCCTAAGCGTGACATAATATAACCGCTTGGTGAGTTATAACAAATGCCTATAATTCATAATTGATATCTTTGTTCCACATTAACTTTTGAAGTTCTGTTCGAATGCATCTTGACAGTGTCTCTTGTGAGTATTCGTATCTTAACAGAACACGTATCAAGTGATAATTAAACGCTTCCCATAACTTCTTATATAAAAGAATGATCAAATCTATCAACAGCTTTCATTGCTTCCTGATTCGTGACATGCGCTTGGATCGATCACTTCCGTCTTTCGGTTTTAATAGTATTGTCCTTTCACGGTCTTTGTTCATTATAAAGTCAAGTCTGAGTTGATTTTCTTATCAAAATTGCCTACAGTCACCCGTCTGCAGACGGGGGTTGGTAGACAGATTTTGTTCGATTTTTGAAATGAGAAATCATTATCACCATATCTTAATCTTATTTACACACTTTTCTTCAGCTATATATTGTTATATATATATATATATATATATATATATATATATATATATATATATATAATTTAAAGAAAAACAGATTCTTTAAAGCTCCATTAGTTATAATTTATGTCACCAGAGAATTTTTTTTTTCTCTGGATCTTCAGACTTCACTTTCAAAGGTGAAAAGAATAATTTTAAATTCATTTTTCTTTTCAACTTTGAAAGTGAATTCAAAAAAAAATCAGAGAAAATAAAATTTCTGGTGAAATAAATTATAACTAATTCTTTTAAAGTGGTCTGTTTTTTCTTTAAATTAAATTATTCGCTCTGATTTAACATTGAGCTCTCAGGATTTTATCCTCCTTAGGATTATCCATACGGATTACCAAGATTTTTTTTACTTAACTATATATATATATATATATATATATATATATATATATATATAACGATACCTCCATTAATTCGGTATACTTAAGTTTTGAAATTAATTTTTAAAAATGAAAAAACTTTCTTGAAACTTTCATTTTAGCTTTAATTGGAAGCTAAAAGATTTAAAAATTACTATTTCCATTTGGTGTATTTCAAACAAAAGTTATATTGATCGAGATTGATATTTTCAAAAAAATTAATGAAAATTGCCATTTTGACACATTTGTAAGTAAAAGTTAATTCTCGGTTTTAAAAATCTTGCAAAAATAAAATATATATTTCTGAAACGTTATTTAAAGAAAATCAGCAAATTTAAATTAATCAAGTTTGAAACAAATATTACTTATTTATAGCATAAAATATCGTATACATGCATTTCTTATCCACGAGGTCTTGTTCTTTTTGGCATGTTAATCGATTTGAGAGCTGAATGACCACCGAACGTCTTCATAGTTATGTATGGTGGAGTGGACGATAAATTTTATGAGGATTTTTTTCCGTAATAATAACGTTATAGGTTTGAACATCCATACTTAGAAATTCTGCACGTATATCACACATACAAAACCAAATTGAAATTCTTTTTAAAATATTCGGTGTTTTCATATAGTAATAACCTTTACAATACATGAGTGGTAAATATATTTTTACTTAATAAAGTTGTCACATTGAAACCGAATGTTAAAATATTAAAGCCTTTATAAATTATTCAATTTAAAATTGTAAAAAATGAAAACAAATCTTTTAAAAATTCATTTTTCTTCGAATATTTTTTCTTCAGACAATATTGTCTTTAAAAGAATCTTTAATTAAATAATGTACTAGTTTTATTGCGTTTTTTATTTTTCGATTTAGAACAGATTTTGAGTAAGACGGTGTCGGATTTTTCAAAAAAAATAAAAAAAATTAGGTGATTTAAATGCTTCAAAAAATTCTGCTTTCACTAAGATTATCACGTTGAATTTCTCAAATTTTCATAAAATTAAGTGGAAGAAAAATATGTAAAAAAATTTTTTACCAAGATTTTCTAATAAAAATTTCATAAATAATTTCATTTACTTGTGAATAACTCTCGAAAATTTCATTAAAATCCTACAATTATTTTATTTTTGAAAGAATTTCCAAATTAATGAGTGTCACCGCAAAAAGAGGTTAAAATTTGCTATTCTAAAAGTTAGTACAACCGATGACGCAAGAAAAACAAGATTTTTACCAAAATGTCGAATGTTCTAAAAAGGAGTAAAAAGTTTAATTAAATATTCAAAAAATACTTTCATCTTTCCTCTTAATAATAACATAAAGATTTTGACGATAAAACTATGTTTTCATTACATTTGTATATTGCTTTCATCATGGTATGCTGATTTTGAATAATCATAATTAATTCATCGAGTCTAGAAGAATCCTCAACAAGATGCAGAAAGCACTGGACAGCGCTATATCAAGTCTCGTTTGTTACCGTTCCATCACCGAGACATGTTGGTCCAGTGGGTATGACGCTTGCGTCGTGTCGTAACGGTCCGGGTTCAATTATAGGGCGAAACGATAGTCCAGTGCTTTCTGCATTCTACTGAGGTTTCTTCTGGACTCGATGAATTAATTATGGATATCCACATACGAACGACGCTCCAAAAGTAGCGCCTCATATTTTTATTCACGAAAACTGTAACAAGAAAGGTAATTTTTTTCATGGTTATGATTCATTTGTCTTGGCTTTTTAAAGCTGTGGCTTATACGATAAATAAAAATTTTCTTATATACGAACGACGCTCCGAAAGTAATGCCCCCTATTTATTTCCACGGAAACTAACAGATACATGAAAGAGAGGATTTGTATTTGTCTTGACTTTTTAAAGTGGTGGTTTACACTCTAAGCCAAAAGTTTCTGACATATATATTGTTATAAAGAAACAAGTATGGGGCACCCAGTGAGAATCGAACTCACTACACGGTAATAATACGCAGTCAGGCTGGCTCATTAACCGTTACCTCACGTCGAGACGACCAGTTATTATTTACTAAACTTAGCTTTAAAATTGGTACAAGCACACAATATGGTGCACTCAATGAGAATTGAGCTCACCCTGTCAATAGTAATGGTCAGACAAATATCATTTATTAAGCTTTGATAGTCTGACAAAAGGCTAAACGTATGGAGCACAGGGTGAGGATCGAAATTAATAGAGACTCGAATGACTTAACTACTGTGTCTTTTCGTGGAGCGACACATTTTACGCGTGCGTTTGTTGACCCCGAAGACTAACACAATTCTTTTTTCAACCTTATTAAGTTCCTGGGAGTCTTCCAAAAGTCCACTTTCTTTTATAAAGTGTGAATAAGTCCTAGACCGCTCCAAAAACTCCGCGATGTAGATCACACATTTAAAGGGGACTTCCAGCAAAATGACGATTCCCCAGCCTCAGCATTGTCATTCTTTTCATTCGTACTTTGCTTGTCGTCGGTATTTTGGCCGTTTCTGGCCTCCATACTTGTTTTTTCTAGTTCTTTTTAGCATCCAAATCACTACTATTTTTTGCAGGCTTAGATTTTTCTTCTTTTTCCCAACCAAGTCTTTCTTTATTTACCACAATTTGTCGGCCATTTTCAGACGAGTTATTCTTTTTAGGCAAAGTGTGTGCGTGTATGTGTGTGCGTGTATGTGTGTGCGTGTGTGTGTGTATGTGTGTGTGCGCGCGTATGTGTGTGTGCGTGTGTGTGTGTGCATGCGTGTGTGCCCAATAAAATAAATACAAAAAGAAAAAGAAAGTTCAAATAAACTTAAGATACAGAAATTAAACAAAATTCTTCCACGAAAGGAAGAAAAAGACAATTTAACAACACAAAAATTATACAATTAGCACAACGAAAGAAATGGAAAAGCGGAAACCACACAGCACTTTTTTACCAGCTGAGCGGAAGTAAATAAAATACTACATGTAAAAAAAACAAAACGTTTATAGCACAAAAGTAAAGCAAGTGAGTTAGAAAAAAAATAGACGTCAGAAAACGTGTGATAAGAAAAAATAAAGTTTCGCTGAAAAATCGACATGCAAAAATAAGTAATAATAAAAGAACGAAATATAACCACTAAAAAATTAAATTAGACAATAGAGTTGAAGGTTCGTCAAGAAACAGACAAGCAAAAATAAAACTCCAAAAGAAAAAATTAAAACCAAAAAAAGTCCGTAGATAGAAGATACGAAAAAAAAAAAAGAAAAACAGATGGAGATGTAAGCACTAAAAATAAAATACACTAAAATATAAATTTGTAAAAAAAATAAAAAGAATAAAAACTGACGAAAAAAAAAATATAATCAGCAAACAGTGAAAAAAAAAATACGCCGAATTAAACGACGAAAGAAAAATAAAATGAATAAAATCTACAGAGTAAAAAATTAAATAATGCACGTGAAAAAACAGGAATATAAAAGACTTAAGTAAAAAAATAAAGATAACTAAAAGAAATTAAAACAATAGTCTTGTGTAATTTAGACTAGAGAAAATAAAAATCGGGTTAATAACCTCGGGGGTGGGGGGTAAACAATTCAAAAAGTGAAAATAAACTGAAAAGAAAAAAAATCAAATAGAAACAAAAATTGAGTCAAATTAATAAAAATAAAGTCAAACTTAACAAGATGAAAAATCCAAGGTTGCAATAAAACACAAATAAAGGTCAGAAGCCTCTTTGATCGCAGGAAATTCTTTTGAATTTCTACGTCTCTTCTATTAGCCTGGCGAAAATTCTACAATCACTAGGGTTTCGGGTTTGTGCAAACACTCTTTCTGCTTGCTCCCGGGATACGCGGCAGACGTCTTCCCCATGTAAGTATAGCGGTTTGGTCTTCTGTCCGCTAAAGCCGGGACTTTGGTACTCCTGTTTCTTTTAATTCCTTCCATTTTTCTGGGTCATTGAGAATGTGAGAGCTTGAGAAAATCCTGGTGCTACAGGTGGTCATGGCTTACGTCCATATCATGTTCAAATACCGTTTCTTGTACGATCAACGGAGTTAAACAACGTCGAGCCTGGTCAGTACCTAGATGGGTGACTGCTTGGGAATTCCCCGTGCTGTACGCTTGGATGATTTGGAAGAGATAATAATGGTTTCAATGGTACAATACTTACTAATTAATCCATAGATGGGGGAGATGAGGTGGATTCATACTTTTCCCAAGGGTGTAAGTGAATATAATGAACAGAAAGGGAATTGGAATTCGGCTCCCTGATTAACGGTATTTATCCGTTACCTCCCCACAAGGCTGGTTATGGCATAAGGCTCTTTTTACGTGGGGTTTTCCAAGCCCGAAGGTCTGGGCAAAAGTTCCCTGTAGATCCCGTCTACACGGGGTCGGGTAGCTGTCTACCTCCACAGACGAGACTCTCCCCTTTGGCATAGCGTTGTCTGGGCTCCTCTCCGCCTGGAGGCAGAGGAGTCGACAAGCCGTGTTCCCAAACCCTCCGATTAAGAATTCTGAGCAATTATCCATTACATTGTAGCGGACCCGTGTGGGTTTACGTGTTGTTGAATTAGAAACACGTTCCTGTTTATTCCTGCTAGAAGGTCCACTAACAGAACATGGCGGATTTAGAAATTTGAATCCACCATAAAGAAATGGAAAAACAAACAAGACCGATATATATATATATATATATATATATATATATATATATATATATATATATATATGTCAACAAATATATGTATTAAACAACAAATTTACAAGTGACAAAGACATCAACATTTGTGTTTGAGTGTGAACGTTTAAGAGTTTGTATTATGGTGCATGTTCGTAGGTACGTGTGTGTGTGTGTGTGTGTGTGTGTGTGTGTGTGTATAATGTTCACGGTGTCTCCCACAGATGGGAAGACGCTTATCTTTTGCGAGAGCTTACATTGTAGATGTGTTCGCTGAAATGAAGAAATAAAAAAGAGAGAACGAGGCGATAAGTTGCCCAGTATTTATAGTGTAGGGAAAGCGTGCCCTAGCGAAATATCTGGACAATTAAGGAGAAGTTAACTCCGACAACATCACCCGCAAATCCAAGCTTACAGCACCTTGTATTCACAAACGGTCACCCAGTTAGGTACTGACCAGACTCGACGTTGCTTAATCGTACGGAAACTGATGTTTCAAAGTGATGTTTCAAAGTAAGCCCTAAGAAGAAGAGTTCATTTTCATTTTCCTTTCTTTAGAACTTCTATGAATATATAGATGCCTAAAATAAAGCCTGGATTGCTTAATTTCTAACTTTGTACCTGACCTTGACCTTATTGACTGGCTGTTTACTCAAGTCCGATTTAAACATCGTATTATATAGCAACTGTTATGAATGGCCAGAACAATGTCAGCTGGAGATATAAAGAACTCGTGCTTCTGTTGTGTGCTTCTGTTCACTTCCAATTCTTATTGTTGTTTGCCTCTCAACGGAAACAAGTAATTATATCAAAAGAACAATAAAATGCTTGCTTTTACGACATTTTGTTTGGCGCGACCTTTTTTTTTCTTATTGTTATCGGGAATTCTAGAGAACTTTTATTGGCAGCAACATGCCGTACATATCCGCGAATAATTTGCAGATTTAAGATCAATTACTTTGGTGGAAAATGGTTGGAATTTGAAATCTAGATCGGCTTTCTTAAGAAAGGTTAAGTGCCAACTTTATACAACCTCTGCTCCAAACTAGTTGTCATATTTAATCATCTCCACAGAAACGCGATAATCTAAGATTTAAAATTGAATTTTTAAAAATGAATTTTCTTCTTGAGCGCGTCCTGGGTAAAACGATAAACTACGTCCAATTGCAAGGCCTCTGATCAGGAGGTTTTGAGAAGCGTGGAACCACCTTTTAATTGCTGGTGTTCCCAGGTCCACCCTGACCCGGGGTGGTAGCACCTGTTAGGGTCCCAGCTATGGGCAAATACTTAGCACTCAGACTATATCCGCGTTCTGGGTATGACGATAAGCTACATCCGCGTCCTGGGTATGACGATAACGTACGTCCAACAGTAAGGTCTCTGATAATATGTTTATGAAAAAATAATGTTGCCAGCTATACTTTTTTGAAAAAATAATATTACCAGCTATGCGTTTTTGAAAAAATATTACCATCTATATATTTTTGAAAAGAATATTACCAGAAATAGATTTTTGACAAAGCAAAAATATTACCAGGAAAAAAAGTTGTCGGCATTAAATGACCCATTGAGGTTGATATACCGTAAAACAAAATAAACCAAACAAACCAAACTTCTTGAGCCTTTATTTTAGTTTTAATTCCAAGCTGATAAATTTAATATTTCCCATAATCAAAATACTATGCTGTATTTCAAAACTAATTTAAATTGACGAAGAATCTTTTTTTAATCTCTAAAAATCGCTGATTTTAGCGCCATAAAGAGAATTACATTTTGCTGACAGATGGCTTAATCTGTCAACACAATGTAGTTCTCTTTATTAAAAAATCTTTCAAAAATAAAATATATTTTTCTGATTTGAAGAATATTAACTGATTTATAGTTTAATTAATCTGATTTGAAAAAATATTACTTTTATTTTAAAATATCGCAGGATTCCTCTTTACCATGAAAATTGATGGTTATTTAAAGTGTTGACTGACAGACAGAAGTTTACTAATTTTTTTTCTACGGTGGATATATCTGTAAAAATTATTTGAGAAATATAACGAGGAACCTTTATATATATATATATATATATATATATATATATATATATATATATATATTTCTTAAATACCGCATAATCTTAAAAAATTAGGAAAATCTTTTGTAATCTAACGTTTTATTGAATTTTAGATACTTTGGTTTTAAAGTTACGATAGTTATCGCACTTATTTTCTGATAAAATCGTGTACGGATGCCCGTATTTAGAAAAATCAGCAAGTTTATACACACACAAAAAAATCTGAATTCTTTTTAAAATATTGGGGATCGCTGAATTGCAGTAAGCTTCTCCATTTATGGTTAGTAGATATATTTTTTTACTTAATAATGTTACAATTCCTGTATTAATATACAGAAATTTAAAAATTTAAATATTATTCTAATTTCAATTAAAAAAAAAATTATATAAGCAATAAGAAGTAGAAAAAATCAATTTCTCGAAATTTTATAAAATTAATTAACTGGTGTTAAGGTAACAAATGTAAAAAAAATATTTTTACCAAGACTTTCTAAAAACAAAATTATACAAATAATTTGATTCATTTGTGAATAAGTCCTTTCCTATACTAATATTTGGTCTCCTCCTCGTCGTAGAAAAAAACCCAAAAACCCCAAGATATTTAAGTTTCGAGCTTTCTGAAAAAGAACAAAAATAGAATTTAATTATCAAAAAATCCTTTGAGTTTTTCATTATGGTATGTTCATTTTTTAGCGAATCCGTGGAGCTCCCTACAGAAATATGTAGACAAATGGAACACTTATAATGGGACAGAAGTAGGATTATATTAATAATAATTGTCTACCGCTGTCCCATAATAGTTGGTACATTTAGTGTATGAAATGTGTAGGTAAATGGAACACTTATTATGGGACAGAAGTAGGATTATATCTTACTTATTATAAAACGCAGATTGTGTGTGTGTGTGTGTCTGTACGTTTATATATTGGATCGGATTTCCTACATTTTTCAACCGATTTCAACAAAACTTCACAGGACTGCGTAAAATTACCTTGCAGTGGTTCTGACAGCGCCAAAAATTGGAAAAACACAATTGTTTTTGCACGAAATCAATTTGAAAACATGATAAAACACGATTCTGTCACCAGAATGAAAGGGGGACAACTCATATCGAGTTATACTTATTATAAAACCCAGGTTGTTTGTGTGTGTGTTTGTTCGTTCACATATGGGATCGGATTTCCTACATTTTTCAACCGATTTCAACAAAACTTCACTTTTTTTTGGCATGTAGTGTTTCTTATTGTCTTGCACACTTTTTTCTTTATTTTTACATTCAGAATGCTTTAAAAATTCCATTTACAAGACAATTGTTTATAAAATTATTCTATTCAATTGGGAGACTCATAACAATTGAAAACAATGCTTTTGTTTGAGTTTGGGTTTGACCAATTCGTAAAAAAAAAAAAAAAAAAAAAAAATCTAATTAAGACATGCGTGTCCGTCAACCTTAAACAATAATCTTTGTCAATTTTATTTTTCAGTCTTTATGATGGTCGGTACTTGATCTATCTCTTACTGTTACATCCCCGGGCAACGCCGGGATCTACTGCTAGTTAATAATAATAGACTACCGTTGTCCCATAATAGTTGGTACATTTAGTGTATGAAATGTGTAGGTAAATGGAACACTTATTATGGGACAGAAGTAGGATTATATTAATAATAATAGACTACTTCTGTCCCATAATAGTTGGGACAACTAGTGTATGAAATATACAGGCAAATGGAACACTTATTATGGGACAGAAGTAGTATTATATAAATAATAATAGATTACCTCTGTTTAATAATATGGATTTTATGCATCCTATTAATGAGCATGTTTTTGTCCTGTTCTCTTATTTTTATCTGCTTTATCTGTGATATTCTTTCTTTTTTGCTGCATTCCTCTTTAATCTTTCTGCATTCATGCTAATTTCTTTCTCAAGAGTCCTACATATCTGTGCCATATCTTGGAACTATTTTTTTTTTATTTCCTTTTCATTATGTCGAAAATTTTGTCTGTCATCCATTTTTGTTTGTTTTGTCTGTTTTTCTTTGGGATCATCTCGATGGCTTTACCTAACGTGAGTTTCCATTTTCATTTAGTCCATTGTATCTACTTTTAATGATGTTATTATATTTCTCCCTGACATTCAGGTCAATCAGAAGTCTGTTGTATTGCAATTTGTGTACTGCCTTGGACGTCTTCAATTTCCGTAGTTTCACTCAAAGTTTATATAACACTGGAAGGTGGTCGCTCCCACAGTCGGCACATAGGAAGGTTTTGCAGTGTCAGACTGCATTTTAAAATCTCTTGTTGATATTTATGTAGTCGATTTGGTTTATCGTTTCTTTTTCTAGGCTTTTCCACGTCCATATTCGTTTTGGG